TTACTGGTGCCAGTGGTCCATGAACCAGAATGCACTTCTCCCACACCACTTCTCGAGCCACATAGTTGTCTCTTTAATTTTAAATACCCAATGCCAATTTACATGTAGTTTATGTAATAATCTAGAGATTATAACCTTTGAGGTTCTGCTTTTATCATTTAGTGCCAAGCTCCTCATACTTTCCATGCAGAAGGTCTTTCCTAGTTCTATCTTTGCTGTTGGCACCTACAAAGATCATGATGACTGGATCATCCACCTCCCGCTGCTAGTACATTTCCAGCCCTAAGCAGATGTCCTGAACTCTGGCATTGGGCAGGCAACATAACCATCTGGACTCTTGCTCTATACTGCAGAGAAGGTTGTCAATCCATCTCATTATACAATTGCCCACTATCATTACATTCCTTGTTGCTCTTCCACATCCCCTCCCAACATACCTTAATGTCTTCCTGTACTACAATGTCATGGTCAGTTAGCACATCCATCCAGCACCCTCTACTCTCATCCAAACAGACTGAGGACTTCAAACTTATTTGATAATCACAGATGTTGACATTCCTGCTGTCTGGGTCATCTCACCTGCTTCATTCACAAACACACCTTCTGTCCCTGAACAAGAAGTGTTGTGACTGCCTCCTGGTGCAACAAATCAAGAAAACTACCCTCCTCCCTGATGTATCACAGTGTCTGTAATTCAGCCTCTAGCTCATAAACTGAGAGTCAAAGCTGTTTGAACTTCAAACATTAACTGCAGATGTTTTTATATGAATCATAATGGTATCCATGAGTTCCTGAGTGCTGCAGCCTTGACACTTCAGCTAACAGCCATCTTGATGAATTTTGATTATTTAATGATACTATTTTATGTTGTATTTTGCGTATTTTATTAACTCTACCACCAAATTGAACACTATATTGAAAATTAAAAATATAAAAAACCTTAACCACTTACCAGACTCACCGAACAGCTAGTTCCTTTCTCAATAGTATAGCAAGAACTAATTGCTCCAATCAGCTCCAATGAATCTGGACAAACAACGCTATGAGAAAAACTCTTATACAACATTCCACACATGCTTAAGCATAGCTTCACATTTGCTTGGCCTTTCATTCTTTCCAATGACCTCTTGTAACTTGAAATATCTAATCATATGTTTACAAATTATATTATACGCACAACAGAAAGTTTATTAAAAGTTTGGTAGAAGTACTCAAAATATACAACGAATCCGGGAGCAGTTGTAATTAATGTGTGAATATTAAAGGGAAACTTTACAGTCATAATTCAATGAAATATCATCGTGGCCCTCAAGTCCCAGAGTTCATTTGTCTATTAAAGGACCAGGAATGAGCATTAGTTTGAACCTCTGTTTCAGAATGATCTACAAATACTATAGAATTTAGGAATTCAGTAGATTTCAGAATGTTTAGTGTCAAGTGGGTTGGAAGAGCTATCATATAAATCCTACAATAATTAAGAATAATCAATAGGTAAAATTTGACTTCATTTGCCCAGAACATATGTTATTCATTAATAGGTAGATCAATAAGTTACAAGTATTCTAACAATGAAGCAGTTCAAAGCAACCTGTAACAGTACCTGATAATCCAAGTCTGAAGTTAACAAGTGGCAATTAACACTTACATCATAGGCATCGGATCACATTCATTTTGAATAAAAACAGGCCTAGCCAACATCCCCAGAATTTTAACAGTGCCATCATTTCAGTCCAGTGTCATCAACATCCTGAGAATCTCCATAAACTAGAAGCTTATGTAGATCAGCCACCAGCAACCTGGCAGCTAAAGCACAGCAGAGACCAGCTGATGACCTTGGCTCACCTCCTAAGTCCCAATTATCTCTGCATTATTTGCAAAGTTCAAATCAGCTGTCTAAGAGAATACTCAACATTCAACGAGATGCGTGTAGCTGCAACGACACTGCTGAGGGACTCAAAAATTCACCCACCAACGCTTCAATTTGCTTTACTTGAGAAAGCTTAGAGTCAGATGGGAACTAGTAAATTGAGAAAATGTAGGTCAGGCAATTTTTGGTCATCAGACACATCTGAATTTTCTGAATCTTTCATAAATTTGCAGGACTTACTAAGTGGATTCTTTTTCAGACGAACATCATGATTAGTGGTGTAGAAGGAGATCCTTCAAACATTAGTCATATCCAAAAAATGCAAGCTAATGGTGAGAACATGAAGAAAGACTGTGGAAAGGTCAATCACAATATAGACCAAGGCACTGCAGCTCAGAAGGCCATCTGTGGTTGTGGTGTTGATAATGGGAGTGAGAATGGCGCGGACAGGACAGAATAAAAATGTGATCGTAATAGAAAATTCTATAATTAGAAGGACAGACAATGTCACAGAGTTATACAGCATGGAAACAGACCCTTCGGTCCAACTTTTCCATACTAACTATATATCCTAATCTGATCTAGTCCCATTTGCAGCATTTGGCCCATATCTGTTTAGGAGGCCCTATTCTCTCCCTAGTTACTTAATATATTTGTAGAATCTCTTTGGATTCTCCTTAACCCTATTTGTCAATGCTATCTCATGCCCCCCTTTTGACCTTCTGATTTCCCTCTCAGCTATACTCCTACTACCCTTAAACTCCTATAGGGATTCACTTGATCCCAGCTGACTATACCTGACATATGCCTTCTTTTTCTTGACAAGTGCCTCAATTTCTCTAGTCACCCGGCATTCCCTACACCTACCAGCCTTGCCCTTTACACTAACAGGATCATACAGTCTCTGAACTCTCAGTTTTAAAAGCCTCCCACTTTGCAACAGTCCCTTTACCTGCCTCTCCCAATCAACTTTTGAAAGTTCCTGCTTAATACCGCCAATATTGGCCTTACTCCAGTTTTGAACTTTAACTTTTTGATCAAGTCTATCCTTTTCCATAACAATATTAAAATTAATAGAGTTATGATCACTGGTCCCAAAGTGTTCCCTCACTGAAACCTCAGTCACTTACCCTGCAGTATTCCCCAAGAGAATGTCAAGTTTTGCTCCTTCTCCAGTAAGTACATTCACATATTGAATAAGAAAATGTTCTTGTACACACTTAACAAATTCTTCTCCATCCAAGCCCTTAACATTATGGCAGTCCCAGTCTATGTTTGGAAAGTTAAAACCCCCTGCCATTACAACACTATTATTTTATCAGGTATCTGAGATTTCCTTCGATATTTGCTTCTAAATTTCCTGCTGACTATTGTGGGGCCTATAGTTCAATCCCAATAAGGCGATCATCCCTTTCTTATTTCTCAGTTCTACCGTATATCGAGGAATATCCTCACTAAGACAGCAGTAATGTTATCCTGAACTAAAAATGCCACTCCACCTCCTCTCTTGCCCTCCCTTTCTATCCTTCCTATAGCATCTATACCCTAGAACATTAAGCTGCCAGTCTTGCACCTCCCTGAGCCACACTTCTGTAATAACTATGACATCCCAGTCCCATGTTTCCAACTGTGCCCTGAGTTCATCTGCCTTACTTCTAAGGCCTCCTGCATTGAAATAAATGAGTTTAATTTATCTCATTTTCTGCCTTACTCTTGCCTACTTTGTCTATTTAAATTGCTCTTCTTCTCCACCTACGGTACCAGCCACAGACTTTTCTCTTTCCTCTCTATCTCTTTGCTATAACATAACAGATGATGCTTTATTTTTTGGGAGATGTCTATATTTTCCTCAGTTCAGGAATAATTAATGCTATTAAGCAGCTTTACTTGTTAAAGGATTAAATGATCAGTTCTCAGATGTCAGTTGTATAGCATTTGTCTGTGAGAAATTCAGTGAAAAATTAATTTGCTGCTGGCTAGCTTTGTAGAATTACATATGAAATTTCAACTGATGCAATAAATTTTTTTAACTTCAGAGTTTTCAGTACAAAATTTCATCTTCTGGGAGCATTCAAATTCTTGCAGTATGAACCTTAGCATAATTTAGCATAATGTTTCTATTAATTTGTAAAAGTCTCATGGTGAGAGTATTTATCAACCAATGGAACTAAAAAAAATCCATTTAGAACTTACAGAGAACAAAAATTAAGTAGAATAAAACAGTAAATAAGGAATAAAAATGTGCAAAAGATCTGAAATATCTGTATTTTTACGGCCAGTATGTCAGGTTTCATTTGGTCAAAGTTAGTCAGCTTTGCCCAACACATGGAAGTACAGATCAAAAGTGAATATTAACATAAACACAAATCTTTGCCTTTGTTACATCTGTAAGCAGTTATTCAAGAACATTCCCATCACCTCTCCCACACTTCCGTCCCCAATCCTGAGGTCATCCAAAATGGCGACTTTATCTTTTCCGTGTTCCCTATCACCCTCCCAACTCATTTCATTGTATCCCAGTGAAGCGACATCCAGTTTAAAATTCTCTTTCTCATTGCCAAATTTCTCCATAGCCTTGTCCCTCCATTTTCTATATGGTCCAACCAGACAACCCTGTATTTTCTTAAATCTGCCATGAAGAGGTATATAAACATAACAAAAAATGTTTGAATTTGGTATCTAAAGGTGTGCTTATGTTATATTTTGTTTTTTATGTGTAAATGTATTTTAAAAATTCATATGAAAAATGATTTAAAAAGTATCATTTTTCAATTATACAATGCAAGGGTATTACAGGTATTCTCTTTTAATTAAAATAGCTTTCGTTATGCCACAATACATGCCAATTCTTTTCAAACACTGAATTGTTTCCATGTTCGGCTTTAGTCCCGTAAAAGAATAAATATGAATTGCAACATAGAATGATCAATTATAAAAGGAGCTCTCCCTACGAAATAGCAACTATATGATAACAGCACACTCAGCACTGTACCCGTGTAAACATCAATTAACTAATATAAATACTTTCTGTTCCAAACTATCATTTCATCTATGTTTTTAAAAAGAAACTAGAAAATGAGTTTTAATTAAGTTACTTTATTACAAGCAAATGTTATTATTAATTATACATCAGCTAAGTCTGTTGCTGTGTCAAGCTATACAAGGGGTCATCATCCATGTCTTTGATCATCATTAATGTCAACTTTTCAATGTAATTTGAAGGCAGGTCCATGATCCACATGCATATATTTTCTTTCACTTTCTCATGTAGGCACCAAGTGGTTCATCATCATACTGTTATAATATGGTAAAGAACTGACAAGATGATTAAATATAGACTTCTGATTGTTGCAAGCAAAGTTCAACTGGAAGTTGCAAATAGGAAAAGCTGTAGAAGAGGCATAACCTTCAATGTGGAAAGATCAGCTAGTACAGCCTATAAAAGGAACAAAAATGTTGGTTAAATTTACCAAAACTTGTTGCAAGCAGCATGCTCAGATCCAAAAATAGGAAGTTTGTGGATACCACCACGAGCTATTATTACTGCTAGAAAACAGTATCCTTGGAAATCAGAAAATTAACAAATTTTTGTGCTTTCACGTCAGTTTCATGGCTCTGTATACAAGGTAAAACAGCCATTACTATTAAAATTCCTTTACAAAATGAAAATCTTAAAACAGAAAATTTTGAAATACCGAGCAGGTGTGTCAACATCTGAGAAGAAGAAAACATTAATGTTTACGTCTGTAACCTTTCATCAGATCATGATATCTTTTTCTCTAAGAAAATCTAAATTTGTGTTAAACCTTCAAGATGAAGCCAATGGCTTAAAAACTGAGCAGTTTAGATATTTTGCTTGTTATGTGCCATAACCCTGAAATTCCTCTGGAAGGTTTCTGAGGATACATTTGGACTTGGGGTAGAATCTAAGGAAGATCAGAAAAGCAATAACAATGGGAGATTCAATCACTAGGGGAATAGATGATGTTTCTGTGGTCACAGCCATAACTCCAGAATGATTTGTTGTCACCCTGGTGCCAGGGTCAAGGATGTCAATGAGCAGCTGCCTAGCATTCTGAAAAGGGTGAACAGCCAGAGGTCATGATCCATTATCAGGAGAAATGACTGAGATAGAAAGAGGGATGAGATCCTGTAGACAGATTTTAGAGAACTAGGAAAGACATTTTAAAAATAGGATCTTAATGGCAGCAATCTCTGAATTACTCCTGGGCCATGAAATAATGAGGACAGAAAATAGATTGTATTGCTAGATGATGATGTATGAAGGAGGTACTGGGGCTAGTTCAGGGATGATGGTACTTGTAAAGCTAGAAAAGATGCATTACACACTGCCAAACTAATATCTTGCAGTGAGTGTTACTAGTGTTTTTTGAGAAGGTTTAAACTAGCTTGGCAAGAGAGTAACAACCAAAGATAAATTCTGAAGGGAAATTGTATACCTGTGCAAGTTTGGTGGTCTGTCAATTTAAAAGTCCAATCATGTTACATAATGATGACCTCATTGCCTATTTTGGATGGGAAACAGTTTATTCTAACCTTACTGCCTGTGAACAGTTCAGAAGCTAACCACATGCTCCAGTCCAAAGGAACAGCTTTTATATTGAGTACTCTACTTGGGGGGAAATGTTTTGAGCTAGGGGTGTAGACTCATAAAGAAGCAGGCAGCCTCAGGAATACCATGTTTTAAATGGGAAGAAGTGAGGTACTTTTAAAACTTAAGTGGTATATTGTGCTATGCTGGGCCTTCTCAATTACGAAAAATAAAATGGGAGGAAAGTTTAGCACTGTAGGACCATACGATGAAAACACAAACAGCTGGGATCTGTATACAGAGATTCCATTATTTTGTTCAAGCTAACAAAACTGAAGCATATTTGGTCATCCCTGAGAATTACGGGGACAAAATTCCAACCTCCTGAGGGATCTGTTACAGCCAAAGAAGCTAGGTACCAATACTTACGAAAAAACAGTAGGAATCCTACAGAACCATTTTTCACCAAAACCATTGTTGATTACTGAAAGGTTCGGATTCCATGTACACAACTAGCATGATGATAAATCCATCTTCCAGTTTGTAGCAACTTTAAAGAAGTCAGCAGAATTCTGCTAATTCAGAGACCGCAATAAACAATGCTATCAGAGACAGACTGGTGTGTATTTAAAGATGTAAAACAATTCATAAAAGATTACTGATGGAAAAGAAGCTAGACTTATAGAACAAACAGAAATAGTGCTACCAATGGAATTAGCAGCCAAGAAAGCACAACAGCTAACCTCGAGCACAACAGTTCAAAATGTCGGCTGAGAGATGCGTAGCAATGCAAACTCAACACTGCTACTGGTGTGGAAAACAGTCACACAGCAGCACATTGCTGGTATAAGGAAGCTGTATGCAGAAACTGCTGCAAGAAGGACACATTGAACCTGTATGTTTGAGGAAGAAACATGAATAACATACAGCAAAAGTGAAGAAACCAAAGAATAGTAAGAAATTCTACACATGAAAATTTGAGAATCACAGTCCAAAGAGGACTGTTCTCAAAGATACTGACCATTGCTGGTGACACCTACTGAAACTTGCTAAAAAATCCCAAGTGTGCTAATAACTATAGCAACAACTAATTCAAAGTAATCTTTGAGATCGTAATGGGACTCATTTATGAAAGGACCTACTTACATGCACAAGGATTTGTTCTCTGCACAGAAAAGGAATATCTTCAAACAATGTGTCTTTTTTTAATTACCAGGAGCTTGAGGACCTATAGTTTTTCATTACTTTCCGAATGACAATGACGTTGGGCAATCAGAGTCGAATTGCTACCTGATCAGCACCCTTTTCTTCCGTCATATAAGTTGCTGAGATCGTTTGAAATTTGGCATTCTTGCATTTGTCCTGATGAACGCAAGCCAGAAAAGCTTCATCAACATGTCTGTCTTTTCATCAATTTTAAAGTTATGTACCACCAAATGACTACTTCAATAATTTGCCTTCAATTTCAACCAAATCTCTTATGAAGGTCTGCACCTGATGCTTTCCGGAGTCTATATATTGGGTTGTGGATAAAGAAGGGTATGTTTTTAAAAGATTCTCCTTTGATAGCTCAGGTGGTAGGGCTGTAGTGGATCCTAAAACCAATATCCTTAGGCTGCTGGTCCAGTTCCAGCTTGAAGGAATCTTGAGTCTTTTAGCAAAGGTGATACTGCACTGAGAATAATTGCCTTGCAAACAGTTGACCTGTCTCAATCCCCGGCCATCACATCCAAATGTTTCTATTTAAAAACACCCAAGGTTTACACTGAATCTGATCCACCAGTGGTGAGGATTTAGGGGGCTTTTATGGTACATTGGTAGTGTCCCTACCTCTGAGCCAGAACGCCCAGGTTCAAGTCTGCTCCAGAGGTTGTAAACATTTGAACAAATTAGTAAAAAATATCTGTAAGTCCCTGGATTATCTTTTTCAAATAACAGAGTGACATGCACCCTTTTCCAAACTACTAAACTGGTTCCAAATCCTGAAACCTTGGAAAACTGTATTAGAACATCCCCAATGGAAGGACAGGAGATTTCCTTCATTAAAAGACTTTGATAAATCAGATCTTTTTTATTGTTTAGTTATTCATAGAATGTAGGCATCACTCGCAAGACCAGCATTAAGTCCCAATCTCAAATAGCCCTGTAGGAGGTCATGTTGATTTGCCTTCTTGAACGGCTGGATTCTTCCGGGTGTAGGGACACCCACAATATGTTTTTTAAAATTCATTTACAGAGTGTAGGATTCGCTGGCTAGGTCAGCATTTATTTCCCATTCCTAATTGCCCAGAGAGGGCAGTTGAGAGTCAACCACATTGCTTTGGGTCTGAAGTCACATGTAGGCCAGACCAAGTAAGGATGACAGTTTCCTTCCCTAAAGGACTTTAGTGAACCAGATGGGCTTTTCCAAGAATCGACAACAGTTTTGTGATCATCACTAGACTCTTAATTCCAGTTTTGTTTTATTAAATTCTACCATCTGGCTTGGTGGGATTTGAACCCAGGTCCCCAGAATATTGCCTAGGTCTCTGGATTAATAGGCTAGCAATAACACCACTAAGCCATTGTCACCCAAAATGTTAAGAATGGAGTTCCAGGATTTCGACCCAGCAATAAAGAAGGATCATTGTTACAGTTCCAAATCAGGATGGTGTTTGACTTAGAGGAAAATTTGCAGCTGGTGGTGTTCCTTTGCAAGTGCTGCCCTTGTACTTCCAGGTGGTAAGGTTGTAAATTTGGAAAGTGGTGTCAAAGGAGCCAAGATGAGTTACTGCAATATTTCTCGTAGATGGTATACACTTATTGTGGGTAAATCACCACAAGTTACATTCTCTTTGGCCAATCAAGTACTGAAACAGTGATTTAAACTTTATCGCATGTTGCAACCAAAATACGACCCCTCAAGTAAGCAAGTTAAGCTTCACAATTCAACTTGACTATTACTCAATTAATGGTGGAATCTAGCAAGGCTTCCAACCAACAGTGTCCGTCTCTAGAAATGTCCAGAGTTCGATCGTTGTGCAGTGTTGTTCTTTGAAGTTCTGCTACTGAATTGTTCTGGTGTTGGATTCTTATACAATTTTCTCTCTTTCAAGTTTAGGATATGACATAAATTAATAGTTCTTTAGATTCTTTTGCCACAAACATTGATTACTCTTTTGGAGATCATAAGTCTAGTAGCTTGCCTTCTTATCAGACTTAGCTCCAATGTGCCTTACTACATTTGAAGTTAGCTGACTGTTTGAAACAGCCTACGTGCAATTAATCCTTTTACTTCAGGACATTGCTTCTGCAGGCAGACTTAATTGCCCATTTGTCACAAGGCAGCAAATTATTAAGCAATCTTATCTCTTCTTCCCAGGAAACAGCTTGTTTGCAGTTAATCAGCATATTGCTTTTAATTCCTTTATATCAGCTTCTACTTGTCCTTTGCATCTCAGGAAACAGTTTATTTCAGAAAGAGTTAATGCTGATTCTTTCAATCCATGAAGTTATTAAAGTTCTGAAGTTCACATTGTCACACAATGCTCCATGCATTTTGGTGTAATCATAAACAAACATCACCATTTCTGACCTTATGATGGAAGGAAGGTTATTGATGAAATAACTGAAGGTGACTGGGCCCAGGTCAATACCCTGAAGAACTCCGGCAGTGATGTCCTAGAGCTGACATAATTGACGTCCAACAACAACCATCTTTCCAAATGCTAAGCATGTTAGACACAAACCATTGACTCCAGTTTTGCTAGGACTTCTTGATGCCATACTTGATCAAATGCTACCTTGATGTCAAGTGTTGTCACTCTCATCTTACCTCAGCTTTTTTACCTATGTTTGGAACAATACTATAATGATGTCAGGAGCTGAGTGGCCCTGGGAGAACCTAAACTGTGCATCAGTGAACAGGTCATTTGTTTGTAAGAGCTGGTTGATAGCACTATCATGACACATTATTTATAGGGTGATGAATAGGCAGTTTGAATTGTCCTGCTTTTTGAGCATATGACATGTATGGGCAATTTCCCATTTTGCTGACATGCCCTCTTGCACTCTTCATTGATCTTCTGGCTTTAAAGTAATGTAAGAGTGTGAAATATGCCAGACCATGATACTACAGACTGTGGATGAATAAAATCTGACAGCCACAGCACCTCATAGATGTCCAATTTGAATTGCTAATTTGTTCAAAGTGTGTCCCATTTAGCACACAGCATTTTGACAGTATCCTCAATATACTTGGTCTCCATAGTGACTAGGCAATTATCACTCCTCCCAATACTGTCATGGACAGATATGGTCAAAAATCACACAACACCAGGTTATAGTCCAACAAACCTGTTTGCAATAGGTAGTTTACTGAGGACAAAGTAAAGTAGATCTTTGCCTCCTGTTGGTTCCCTCACTGCCTGCCACAGTTGCAGTCTGACAGCTGTGTCCTTAAGGATTAGGCCAGTTCATCTGCTACTGAGCCACTCAATAAATATTGGAGACCCCGCCTAGAATATATTCTATGTAATTGCCACTTTCAGCACTTCGTCCAAATGATGCTCAATATGGGGGAGTGCTGATTTATTAATTGAGTTAAACCTGTGCTATTGGTGTCGACACTAGATTTCCTTCTATAAAGGACATTAGTCAACTGTACTGGATTTTCCTTTGCAACAATCGACAATGGTTACATGGGCTAGATTTTTAAAAAATTTCAGATTATATTAAATTAAAATTTCAATATCTGATACGGTGGGTTTCAAATCCATGTCCCAAGAACATTGGAATTGGGTCTCTGGATTAGTGGTCTAATGACATTACCACCATCTCCCCCTTAAAAATCAGCAATGGTTTTAATTCTAGATTTTTTTTTAGATTGAATACAAATTGGACCAGCTTCTTTGCCAAGAGTTGAACCTGTGTCCCAGAGGATTTGCCCAGGCTTCTAGATTACCAATCCAGTGACATTACCAGCATGGCACTCAATCTTCAGAAACAAAGTAAGGACAGGTAGTTAATGCTGACTTCTTTCTCGATTTTAAATACTGACACCAAGTAATTATTCAACTTGTCTCCTATTTTCTCATGTTCACTGACAGTATCAGAACTAGCAGTTTTTAAGGAAACTGCATCGCTCCTAAATATCATTCTTTTACTATAATTGCTAAACTTTTGTGTGTTGATTTAGACAGCCCTTGCAAGTCTTTTCATAGTTCCTTTTTGTGGCTTTTAATATCTGTTTTAGTCACCCTTTGTCGTTCTCTATATCTCTCCTAATGATCAGGGCCTGTGCTATTTTGTGCAACTTTGTAGTCTTTTATTTTTAGTTTTATGTTGCCCTTTGCCTATTTAGTGTACAATCTTAACAGTTGGTTTATATTACTCCCTACCTAACAGTATATTAAATTCAATTATGCAATGATTGCTATCTGTTAAATGCTCCCGCATTGTGAAAGCTGTTAACTAAATCAGGCTCTTTACTCATCACTAAATCTAATAAATGATAAGCCCTCTTGTTGGTCCTAAAATATACTGTTGTGAAAATCTATCCTGGACACACTGCAGAAATTCACTTCTTTTCTGACATGTTAGCCTGCTTATTACAATCTATATGAAAGCTAAAATCCCACACTAAAATTGACTTGTCTTTACAACATACTTATCTATTCTCTACATTTGTGCTATTAGGGGACAGACACACAATGCACATTAGAACATAAGAACGAGGATCCAGAAGCAGAAATTCACCCCCTTGAGCCAACTCCGCCACTCGACACAAATCATAGCTGATCTAATCTCATCCTCAGCTCCACTTTCCTGCCCACCCTCCATATCTCTTTAACACATTGCTAATTAAACTACTGAACTACTACAGTTCTACATTCTTTTCAATTTCTTAATTCTATCTACAGGCTTCATAAACTGTTTATTATTCTGTATATCCTCCCTTATCATTGTTGTATTTCATCTTGCATCACTAAGGCTGCTCTTCCCTGTCTACTTTTTAGCTCATCCTTCTTGTGAACTTTAAAACCTAGCATAGTTAGTTTCTAGTTCTGGCCATCTCAGTAATGGCTACCATGTCATCACCTCCAAGTGGAATTCGTGATTACAATTCATTTAATTTACTCCTTATTTGTATATAAAATGCTTATTGGGGTTACAGGCTCTGTCCTTTTGCTCTAACGTTTTACAAAGATATTCCTTATTTATCTGTCCTGGATTAATTTTTAATTTCTTCCCACTAATTTGTTTTTGAACTACATTTTCCAAAGCCCTCTCCTAAATTTATGAATTTAGAGCCCCTGAGACCTCACGATTTGTCATTTCCACTATGATCATGTGTCAAGTTCAGATCAGCTGGCGAGTATCCCAAAGGTACAGTTTCTTTATGTTTTAGTCTCTCAAAGTCTAGCAATCAGAACTTTAACAGATTACCAGGATTATTAAGGACACTTCCTAGAGGAGTGGCAGTGATTCTGTGGAACATAAACATGTTGTCGGTTTTCACGGTGACAACATTCATCCTCTCATCACTGCCATTCCATCAGCTAATCTGTCAGCCAGGCCAGATTGCTACAATGCAAATTGCATAATTTCGTCCTTAAAACCTTTCCCCTCCGACCCTCAGCAGTCGTCATTCAGCCTCTTTGTAGTCACTGGAAAGCACCATAAAGAAGCATTAGAACAGGTGAAGCCACACTTAAAGACATGCATATGGCTGATTATAGCGGCAAGGTGGCTCAGTGGTTAGCACTGCTGCCTCATAGCGCCAGGTACCCGGTTTTGATTCCACCCACAGGCAACTGTCTGTGTGCAATTTGCACATTCTCCCCGTGTCTGTGTGGGTTTCTGCCAGGTGCTCCGGTTTCCTCCCACAGTCCAAAAATGTGCAGGTTAGGTGGATTGGCCATGCTAAATTGCCCATAGTGTCCAGGAGTGTGTAAGTTAGGTGGATTAGCCATTGGAAATGCAGGGTTACAGGGAAGGATCTGGGTCTAGGTGGGATACTCTTCAGAGGGGCAGTGTGGACTTGTTGGACTGATTGGCCTGTTTCCACACTGTAGGGATGCCACGATTTATTTGGGTTTGCATATAATAAAGCATGTTTTGGCTTTTAATCTTTATTTTGTGTTGTCCTTATTTTTTCTTATGATTATGTTGTGATGGTCCTGATGAAGGGTTTCAGCCCAAAATGTGGACTTTCCTGCTCCTCAGATGCTGTCTGACCTGCTCTGCTTTTCCAGCTCCACATTTATTGACTCTAGCTTCCAGCATCTGCAGTCCTTACTGTCTCCACGACTTTGGAGCAGGTTGTATTTGAAAACAGGTCTTCGAGCTCAGAAGTAGAAAAACTACCATTGTGCCATAACAGCCCATCATTACGAGCTGAACACACTGGGCAGATATGACCTGCACCTAAGACCTCTTCTTCTCCTTATTAACTTCTAGTGACATGCTACACTCTGCATCACATCTTTTCATTCTCCCAGTCATGTTGGATTGTGAGGGGCAACTAACCCGAAAGTAGTTGATCTCTTTATTAGCATTGGTAGGAAGTCCCTTCCATTGCTGAACATATATTCAGCTATGTGTAATCACTAAACAGCATTAGCTAAAGTGTTGAGTTCCAAATGGTAGCAATGGCTTCAAATCAGCAATGACAATTAGAGGTCATGAGCTGTCTAATGTGCATTCTTTCATTGGGCGCACAATGTGTTTGTAAAAACACCCTTACCAACTTGGCTTCAAATACAACTTGTACCAGAAATGTGCAGCACACTACAGGATATCATATTGGACCTCTAAGCTGTGAAGTGTCCAGGAAGCGTGTATTGCCGATCTGCACTGTCCACCCCTTAGCCATTAATCAGCACATCCTTACAATTACGTGATTGAGATTGGCAACAACTGTTCCCCAAGATTCCAGCCCACCCCTAAAAAGGTAAGCACACTCTATCCCAAAATGAAATTAGGATTCCTTACTTCAGCTGTAGCAAGTGATGTTGCCTCCATTAGATTTTCTGCTCTGAAAGCAAATACAGCAGCTGCTAATACTGAAATAAAACAAACTGTATTACACAGAGTTAACATTTTTCCAGGGCAGTGTCTAAAAATGTCTAAGCCAACCAAGTACCTGGGTAGCCTACTGATTGGTGTATTTTGTGTATTAATGTAACTAATAGCGTACAGTAAAAAAAAATCAAAGCTATTTTCACATATGCATGCCAATCAAAATGAGTTGAGTCAGCACAGTAGCAATGCTCCTGAGCTGCTCAACTAATTTCTGGTGTAGGCTTATATTCCTAGGGAATAAAGTTGGCAAAAGAATTAAACAGGATTTTATATTCCATAGTTTCTCTAATGTATTTTTTTGAAATGATCAAAATGAAGTTTCATTGCCTTGGCCATTGTCTTATCAGCAAGTACTTTCTTTTGTAAAATATCAAAATAATCCTTGTAGAAATTGGAGTGAAATGAGCAGTGCAGATGCCAGGCAGAATGCTCCCACAATGCAACACCACCACTCTTCATGGGACTTTACCTAAGGGCCACTAAAAGTGAGATTACTGTCCACATATTCATCTATTTAAAGTGGTCGAGTTGCCCGTAGAGACACAGCAAGCAATGACAGCTCACCTCGATAACTCTGATCAACTGATGTCCAAGGCAGGGCTTGGGTGCATGCTAACGGCACAGTGCTGGTTTCACATTGTAAATAAGCCATAATCAATTTTACCATACTTCATCTGAGTGAATTTGTCAATTTAAGGACACAAATAAAAGGAATAGTATGAAAACCAACCAAAGAATAGTGCTGTGATGAAGTGGAAAGTTATTTAGGCAACACATTAGGTCAATTATGATTTTTTTTAAACATTCAGGCCTTTTCAGAATTTTTCATTATTCATGCAGAAACCAATTGCTATTACCAAAGACTCTGTGCAAAGATGTAACACCCTCTACTGGCAGTCAGTCAGAACGACGTATCAAATGCATCTTAAAGGAACTCTGGTGTACAATTACAAGTGCAATGCAAAGAATACCAGTTTCTTTGTACTCATACCGGCAAGAATTTCCAGTGAGTTGTATCCCAGAATCCTATCCCAAAGAAACAAGAGCTGATCAGTTGCTAGGTACCCAGAGAATGCCCTCACCATCCACTTAAACGATATTCGAAGTCTGGGAAAAGAAATATGAAAGAAACATTGAATTCAGAATGTCATATAAGGCAAGCTGCATAAGCATCAGACTAAAACCAGAATCTGAGGGTGTAATTTTAATTCTGCCCATCTCTTTTTTATAAGTTCATGAATTCAGGCCAACATTTCAGGACAGAAGAAATTTATGTGAATATTCATCAAACACCTGGAAAACGTTACGACAAAGCTCCTTGGTGGCTCAGGAGCAACCCATGCAGACTTTGATGACGAGGTAATCTTCTGTCTAGACTGCATTAGCTGATTTCTGTCACAATAATTACAGGGCACTTCTATTGGTCCCTGTGTTCGGAGGTCGAAATGTAACGATCATCCAGGGTTCCTTGGTCTGATCATTATTCTAATACGTGTGTGACTATTGGATGAAGACAACGTTGGAGTCAACCAGCAATACTGATTGAACAGTAGCCAACATTAATTAGAAAACCGCTCAAAGGTTGTCTGTAGTTTATCTGGTATTGAAATGCTTGCAATGTCCATTTTTAATCACCTAAGGGAAGTGTATTCTAATGGCAATGAATTGTACTGAGAATTTACATACCTTATGACGAAACTTATTTCTAACATTCTGCGACAAGTAACAGTTACATAGCATTAAATTCCAAGAATAGTTAGGTGGTAACGTAAAATTGTACCCCACCATAGGGAGGGGCTTATTACAAGTTTTTTGATAGGTCACTTAGAACAGTTTAGGGGTCACTGAAAAGCAGTTCCAGGGACTCAGTTTAGTTGGACTGAAACAAGGGCAGATTGTGTTGGGAGTGTTCATTGTTGGTTGTCCTACAGGGAAGAAGTCAAGAGCAACTGGCTCGGTCTGCGTAATCAGGACTTAGAAACAGTTCTGGAGAGCTGGGAGAGTGAGAAGATTGCTGGCTCTGCCTTGGGAGATGTTTTGAGGAGCTCAGAAGAAACCTGGGAGCATTAATACTTCAGGGCAGTTGAGAGAATGAGGGTTGAGAAACCACAAGCAGTATTTCCTTCACACAACTGCATAAAATTAGAGGTTAGTGGAATCCAAAGGACTTATCCAACTTGGAGAAGCTAGATGTTGGTGAGAGTCTGGAATTGTGCTGCTGAATAAGTACCGGAGTGCAGGTTCAGAGTTAAGGAGAGCCTAACCCCAAGATTGGGGGGTGATCAACCAAAGAAAGGAACAATTTACAGGCAGTCCATGACAGGATCACTCTTGAGAGGAAGTTTCAAGGCAAGGTCACTGAAATCCCTTGTGAAGTTTATTGAGATTTGATGACCCATCATGTCACTAAGGTCTGTGAAGGGTTGCTGAGAAACTTCTGTTAATTCTGAGTAGTAGAAATAAGTCATACATGTATCGTAGACTGTATTACCATTGTAGCTTGTATTGCAAAACATAGTAGTTTGTACAAAACCGTGAGATTGTGCGGCTTTATTCTCCTGGATGTCACCTCTTTTCTATGTAAGAATAAAGTTTAGTGGTCCTTAATCAGATTGTAACATAATATAGAGATATCATCTTGTATCATAACAGTAAAAGTAATGATCTAGTCCGAGATCATTACAGCTTAACCAAGGATCCTTACACTGATATTTATTCCATCATTTGTCAAAGCTGGTTTCCAGAATAGCCAAACATAAGAGTACTATTTAGCATGAGGCTGGA